TTCCCGCGGCGGTCGGCGCTTGGGACGCTGTGGGAGGTTGGTCCCTCCGCGGGCTTCGAGGTGACGCCTGCAAAGCTAGGAGGACTCTTTAACGGGAACACACCGTCGGTGCTCTCTAGGAACGGGAGCCGTAAGGAGCCTTGAGGTAGGATCGTTTCCCGAAAGGACAGCAAGTAAAACAACTTAATTTAGCCCGCGATCTCCTGGTCATCACATTGTGTGCCATTCACCTCCTCGTTTGTAGGTTTGAACGTCCACCTTTCGGAGTAAAGGGGTGGCGATGGGATTTAGGTTATTAATGCCTGTTCCTTGGTGTTGTAGGTGAGTGTGTTGGTGTTTCCGAAGCGGAAGGGTTAACAAATGGAATTGTTTTCCCTTGGTATTTAACACGTGACAGTCATACTATCTGTTTTTTAGTAGAAATAGCCCTGAAGTATGTAATCAAAAAAACATACTACTAAATTTCAACTGCTGTCACACCGCTAAATTTCAATATGTAATTTTTTTTTTCTTTCCTTCAGGCACACTAGAATATGAAGTTCTAAACTAAACCAAAACCGAAGTTTTGTCTACTTGATACAGTTGTTCCTTCTTTTTTGGGTGAGAGGAGGTTTAGTGCTTTAGGGATGGAGTCATATGCATGTAACCTCTATTGGAGTGCTTTCTTCAGCGAAATACAATAATAAAAAAACTTATCCGCAGAATTAAGTGATTAAGTAAATGGGGTCTGTAGCAATAGGGCAAGTGGTACCGTTTTGGGGTATAACATTGTCCTTTTATGCCATGATACAAAGTTGATAATAAGATACAAAATGAGGAGTTCTGAATGGCTGATGTAAATTCTAAGAAATTAGTAGAAATGTTGCAGTCTGGAAGACACATTAAAAGTAGTGTGAATATTTGCTGAGGATGGACCCTGCAGTAATCCTCTAGTCACGATGATTTCAGGCAGGAAAAGTTTGTTACAAAATAACTTTAATTTCTTTTTTTAATAAGCATCCTTTAATTCCTTGATGATATGCAGCCTTATGCAGCTGCTTGTATCAAAAGATCATATTGCTTTGTATGCTATTCAATGTAATCAAACAGTGGAGAAGATGGCTTTTTAAGGTGTGAGCACGCATAACTCTTACTTGGCCACCTGGATGTGGCTTACATATATATGAAAGCTTAGTGGAGTTGTTTCAGGCTTCCTTTGTAACTGGGACTGTTACGGTCCACCTGGAGTGCGATTCCTTAATAATAATTGAGCAGTGTAGTAAAGCTTTGGGGATGTTATGGTATTGTATCCTTCTATAGAAAGATGTTTTGGTGAAACCTCTGTGAAGTTCTGCTTCATGGGAGCATTCATTTGTAATGACAGAGGAGTTGATGGGAAACTGCAGTGAAAGGCTGGATACCTGTGAGAGGTGACTCAACTGGCTACTTTGTGTCACCATCGCAGAAATTTAACGTTAAATGTTAACGCTTTCTCAGTTGTCCTTCATTCTGTAATGCTGAACATCTAAATACTTTTTTTTTTTTTTTTTAAATTTTGGACATGACTTACACCAGAGCAGCCTTTTCACGGGTTTGTTGATATGTTTTTGGATCCAATCCTGGAAGCTGTTCAGTGATAGTTTTGTCTTTATGTCAAGTCTGCTTACTTAATAAAGGTCTTGTGAGGGAACGTTAATTAAACAGTACATGGTGTAAGCTGTAGTTAAAACATCCTGAATTGGAAAGTATTACATGAAGGGAATATCAAGTTCTTAGGCTGTATTTAGTATATCTGTACACCGTCTTACTTCCAGTTTTGTGCTAATCTGATTTTCTTTGCTGGCAGTGTCTGTCCAAAGTCACTTAGAAACACACTTTATTTATTGCTTACTGTATAAATTATTGTTCTCTGCTCCTCTTCGTTAAGAGTGATGAGGTGGAATAGGATACGTATGTATAAACTGTTAAGTTACTGACAACTAATTCTCCATAAACTACTTTCATAGATGTTGCATTTCCATACACTTTGTTAACTGTTGTTGCAATTTTTACTTTCTTAGGCCCAGATCAAGCTCTCGGTGTTTGGATAAAAAGGAACGAGGAGCTGATAACCTATGTAATGAGAAAGCAAGGGAAAATTATGTGCTGTTAGCTACCTGGGCTTGTCAAATTTTTGTGTGTGTGCATTTTGCAGTGTAGATTTTAAAGGAATAATTACTTAGAATTCTGACTTTTGAAAGTGGATGATATAGGTAAAGACAACTATTTTGTATAATTTCCTAGGGTAATTCTTTGAGCACAGACTTTCTTTTGAAAATATCTGGTTTCTAAATTTCATAATAAAACACAGTTGCATTGGTTGTTGGTATCTGCTTTTTCTCCTCCACCAGTACCAGTGTATTTTTTTTCTGTCTGGATTATTCTCGATGAGCTGATCTCCTTTATTGATGAGTAATTATCTCCAGCGTTTTTACTGTGTAATTCTACAAAATAGAATGTGTTCACGTATACTAAGCATTAACTTTGACTCACTATAATAGTTTTGGTTAATATTAGCTAAGAGCATGGTACTCCGGTAAAGGTATAGTCAGATCCATAATTCCTTAAAAATCAGAAAGATGGTAAAGTATGTGGAAGTCTGGGCTTATAAAGATGCTGGAGAAACTTGTTTGAACCCTATGAAATAGATATACCAAAGACAAGAGTGATTTCAGGTTATAAGGAATAATCCTTAGATTTAAAAGCAAAAATGAAGGTATTAGATTTTTTTAAAAAAAGATATATTGATTGATAGGCCTTTAGTAAGTGCATTACCAGTGTGAGTAGCTACAAGCAGGTGGTAAATAGGTGTCTAGTTCTCTCAGTTCCTTTTATGGCTTTTAAAAATTATTATTTTAAAGTCTATTGGATAAAGCCCTCCTTGTTAAAATTCAGAACTTAAAATTTTGGGTTCTTGCTGTATTTGATGAGGAAGACTGTTAATTCAGAATCCAGTTTGCATGGAGGAGGCAGGGGGGGAATCCATCGGAAATGCTTGTTCAAGTCTATCTGGAATCTCTGAAGTAAAAATGGTGAGCTACTTTGGGTTATGATTTAAAGAACAAACAATGTAAGAACTTTCTTCATGCACACACAGATGGTGAAAGACTCTTTCCAGTCAGAGATACCAAAGATCTCATTTTAAAGTCCCTTCTTTTCTGAAACTCAGATACCTAAATTACTTGTTTTCTGTAGCTGGTTCAGAAACAACCAGCCAGCAATGTAGTCCTGAAGCTTGATGAGGTTGTGATAAAAGGTAATACAAGTTAAAATCTATTAAAAATAATTTATGTTGTTGAGTCAGATTTTGCAGTCTGTTCTACATATGTGCTTGCACGATCACAGTAATTATGTGCATAAATAAGCTCAATATAAATTTTGTGCCAGTTGGAAGTTGTTTAAAAATGGAGTTACACTTTTCTAATTTTAGTTGTAAAAAATTATAAATGTGTTGAAATTACTATTTCCCAAGTCATGGTCACAGGTGCTGTTAAGCAATGAGTAACCAACGACTAAACATTGATATCTTTGCAAGTGCAGGATCTTATAAATTATTAAAGGATGACAGTAATTGTACCTCTGTAGTGGTGTTCTCTTAGGGTAAGCCTGATCAACAGTAGGAGCAAAATTACAACTTCATTTTATCGATGCTTTTGTTATCTAGAAGTTGGGATGCTGTGGAACATAGTACTTGTAAAATTGTGGAGATTGTCATCGTCTGGTAACTTTACAGCCAAATATCATTATTCTGTGACTATTTTCCAGAGCCATAGTCCATTTTAATGGTTACAGTAATGTTATGGTCCGTTCTCTACAGGATACAGTGGGAAGCACATCCAAAGTGATGAAACTGTTTTAGAAAGATCTGCAAATTTTTCATTAACCAGCTTTTTCCCTGTGTTGAAACCCACTGACTTGAGGAATGTACTGTTCCTCTAGACTGCGTTATTTTAGATATACTTGTTTATAGTTTAGTGTTTATTCATACACTGAAAGCTTTCTATTTATATTCTGATAAGGCTTCTTCTGCTTGCTTCAAATTGTGATGAGAACTTACATACAGGATTTCTAGTACTTTTGGGGAAGGATGATTATTTAAAGTTTGGGGTTTAATTGTTTTTTTTCACTTCTGCAAAATTGCTGTCTAACTAGCAGTTTATCTTTTATTTGTGCTGATTATTTGTGGAACTGAAATACTTTGCATTTGTCCTTACTTCATCTTGTTTGTTTTGGACCATCTCCCCAGTTTATCACAAATGATTTAAGAACTTCAGTATCGTCCTCCGACTTGTTTTTCTCTCTTCTCAGCTTGGTATTAATCTCGTTTTTGTGAAGAACTGAAGTTTATTAAGGTTATCTATATTGCATTATTTTTTTGCTTACTTTGACAGGTTTTTTTTCTTCTATAGCTTCAAGTATTCTAGTTTTATCTGTTCAATGTATGTATTAACTAATAGGAGACTTTGTAGTTTTTCCTGAGTCTTGATTCCTTGGCAAATATTTAAAACTTTTCTTCCTCTTCAGCATCTAAAATAAATTTATTTTATCCCTTAGATAACTGGAGATGTGAATCTGTGCTGGTCTTGAAACAACTTTGTATTGAGCCTCTTCTACATCTGGGAGCATACATGTTTTAATTCTGGTCATTTTTCCTTCCAGTGTCTTCTGATTACCTTGAAGAACTTCTCAATTGCCCAGATCCTTTTGAGAAGTGTTTGTCAAAGTGTGTAAACTCAGTGTTTAATACTTACTCTATTAGCTTTGCTAATACTGAAATTTTTCTTCTCTCTCCTCCCTGTCCCCTTTCTCCTGCTATTTTTTCCACAGGAATTGAATTTCTCTCTCACTGAGGTTCCTTCACTTCCGGTATGGAGATGAATCGAGAAAAACTGTGTACCAGTAAGGCTGATGTGGGCTCAGATTCTGCATATCATTGCTCAACATGTCATGATGATGAGGAGTGGAGCAATAGTAGCCGGGGACGAGCTAAGTCACGAAGTTTGTCTGCTTCACCAGCTCTAGGAAGCACCAAAGAATTCCGGTATGGCTTTTGGTTCTTCCTATTGTTGCTACTTCTAAGAAAAATTTTAAAAAAAATAAATCTAGATTTTTAATTTTCACTCCTCTTTTTATGTAACCATAGCCTTGCAGCTGTGACAAGTGATAATGAACAAGTGATATAAAAATAGTGGTTTGTGGTAATAAATAGAGAGGGAGATGATTAGTGAACCATGCGATTGTAGTCCATGCTGTCAAAAGAACTCTATTTTCTGAAGGAGCCATGTAGATGGTCATCTCTAAACTGACATTCATGTAAATAGGTCCTGGCTGGTTGTGAGGCCTGCCTTCTGTTTCAGTGTTTCTTGGTCAATCTTAAATTGCTTTTTGATAGATATTTCAACAACGTTCTATATGTGCATATACAGCTTCAGCAAGACAACACATTACTCATTTGCTTTGTGTATGCCATTTAAATGCTGTCTGAAGTGAGTATGTCAGAGTCGGGATTCACTGAAGTGTTTGCATTTAGAAATGTCTCTGTGAAAGGTAATAGATCCTTTTTTTGAAGTCAAACTGTGCATAAAGCTGCTATCTGTAACGTCATGTATTGAAATTATTTTTTAGTAAGAAAGTTAGTTGAGAAAGCATGGGTGTGTTTCCAGCTAGGAGAAGTTCTTAAAGTATAAAAGCTTAGAAGGTTATTGTTTATAAGCAGGTAAACACCAAATATTAATTTTCAAATTTGAGGAACCCATTGTGCCCAAGTACTTGACTTCAGGGTTTTGGAGTAGCTTTGAACTTGGAATACTATAATATTTGTCATATTTCAACATAGCTTCACAAGTTAAGTACCTTTCAGCAGTAAAATACAAATGCATCTGTATTGAGCTATGTTATTCATAGCTTGATAGTAGCTCGGGTCACAAGAAAGGAACAGTTTTGTGCTTGGTTCCGGATCTTTAATTAGTAGACAGAATGTTACCTCTTGCTCAACAAGTTGTTTTTAAGAGATTCTTAAAATGCACTTCAAAAAGTTGTTAGTCCAAAATGAAGGCAGGAAGTTAAAGGTGGGGTGGGGTAGACGAAGAGCAGACCTGTAATCAAAATGGCATGACTGTCAAAACAGGTATCTGCAGAGTTCATAGTCTCAAAAAAGAGTCAATCAACAGTAGAGACACTTCTGCAAATTTTTACAAATGCTCTAGCTAAAGCTGTAGTGCTGTGTATTAAAAACCTGTATGAGTATTTAGGTTATGTGGTAACATGAGGCAGCACAAAGTAAGTTTGTGCTTGCAGATTGTTTCGCAGCGGGAAACGCCCATTTTTTTCTTTGAGCCAAATTTCTAATCTGGTTGCGAGGCTCTTGTCATGCGGAGAACTTGGATAGAACTTTTGATTTGTGATCTTTGGACCCGTTGTAAATATTGAATAGTATGCTGTGGTTGCAGTGTGCCTTGATCTTGTGGGAAGCATAGCAGAACTTTACCTTACTTACATTGTGACCCTCTATAAAAGCACGGACAGAATCTTGGAGAAGTTTCTCAACAGATGAAATTCTCGTCCAGAGTTACTGCTTTGCTGGTAGGAATGCTCTTGCAAGGCAGAGCATATATGGGTGAGGCTGAAGATAGCAGGGGGAAGCTTTGTGGTGAAGGGAGGCGTAATAAAAGCTTTTATCTGAAGAGGCTAAAAGGTTAGGAAAATACTTGCTTTGCATAGGTAGTTCAGAAAGTCAGTGTACTTTAATGCTTTCGGAAAACGTTCACAAAGGACTGTGCTCTGACGGTACTGTTCTAGCTACTGTGTTGTGGGTTGTAGTCAATATGTAAGACTTCACATTAAAAGTGTGCTGTAAAACTGGTGGTTTTTTCCCTTCTCCACTTAAACCTTTAAGATGTAGACTTCAGTCAACCTGTGCAAAAGACTATGTGGTCTAAAGTTTTGTGTATTGTTATCTTCTAGCTAAATAACTACTTTTTAAAACCAGAAGTGGTCTTTGTAGACCCTACTGATTTTGGATTTGAATTAGGGTTATTTTCTACGAGTTGGTTTTTTTTTTTTCATTAAGATGCTCTGCATTCATTTACTGCCTGTCTTCAATTTAGTGTAAAATTGTTGCAAGGCATTTTGCAGAATGTCGGAAAGTGATCTCAGGCTTGCTGTGTAGTATTCGGATTGAAGTAGTTGCCTGTCTGCTTTGAATTGACAAGTACATTTCTTCTAAAAGATGTATAATTCCTAGTGCATTGCTGTTCTTTCTTAGCAAAGACAGTCTTACTACAAACAACTTTAAATTCTGTTCACTCAGACATTTTACCTTCTATTGATTGAACAGTGCATAGATTGAGTACTAATAAAACCAAGTTAAATCTTAACAAAAATGTATACCAATTATTAATTAGAGCTTGCAGAGAAAACTTTGAATGTTGTGGAGGTCAGATGTGGATATTTAATGCCTCTTGTAGGAACAGAGTTTAGCCAATTACAGGGAGTGGCATGGAATAATGACCTGTGTTGAAAGAAGGCAAAAGAGACAGTTATTTGGGAGAAGCATGAGTGGAGCAAGAAGTGGGAGGTGATGTTGCCAGGGTGTTATTTAACTATCCTGATTTCCAGTGTAATTGTTCACAAATAGATAGAGACTTACCATTCCTTTACAAGTATTGGTACACACATTAATCTCTAATTATGTCAGTCCTTGCTTGTTTTTCTGTTTTAATATAAATAAGGTAAATTTTAGAAAACACTTGGTAGTAACCTTATCTGACTGGATTAGTCATGCCTGCACTTACAAATGGAAAAAAATTATTTGAAAAACAAGTATCACTTCTGTGTGTTAGATGTAGGAAATTAAATGCTCATTTTCTTTATTGGAATTCAAATCTTACACACACATATTTTATTAGATGTGGAACAAATAAGATGTTGCTATTATTCCTTAATTATATCTCTTTAACTTGTTATCTGTTATTGATTTTTATTAGATTTCTGAGGGTTTTTTAGTACTAAGAGTGAGTCATCGGGCTGGTCTGAGCTGCTTTATAATATACACAATAGAAGGCAGTGCAGTAATGGTTTGTTACTGCCAAGCAATAGATTAATTACCAGTTCCTGTGTTAATTGAATTAAGCACAGGAAAGGCATATTTTCCCCCTTCTTTTTAATGGAATAATTCTAATAGCGTTTACATAATGCTTCAACAGTTACATGACTTGAGTAAGTTTTACTCCTATTTACAGATTTGCTGAAGGAGGTGGGAGGGAAGTAAGGCAGAACAGTTCTGACTGCCTCCAGGTAATCTTATCCTAGAGCTAGGAGTAATCTTGTATTCTGGATGGGATTTAAATTGAAGGATAAATGACATTTCAGAGCTCCTGTGTATTTGAAGACAAAAATCATATTAGCTCTTACTGGATAAATAAATGGAAAAAATCAGCATTTTTCCTACCCATTCAAAACTAAGGCCTAGTACTGCAGATATCTATCTCCATATACCTTAGAATTGAAGGATTTACATTTTAGTCATTTATTAAGTGCAAATATTTAAACAACAAAAGTAGTGTTTAAATGATTGGGACACCATTACTGTGATTTCACCATGGCAAAAAAATCTGAAGGTGTTGCTTTCGTGTTGGAGATTTCATTGTAAATGCTTGACAAGACTTGCACTGGGAAACCTAATTTATGTATGTTACTGTACTTTATTGAGATGAAGAGCAGTCATTAAGCTATTTTAGGTGTGTTTATACCAGATTTAATCGTTCTGCATGTCCTGTTCTAAAACTGTGTGCTCTTAGATAAGATGTAGTGCTTCAAGAAACACAGAAAAGAAAGTATCATGGTTATTGTGTCTGCAGCAGTGAAGCTGATGTCACTTAGGAATTGATGCAGACTAACGCTATACACACAGTAATGACACACAACCAACAGTCATTGTAGGTTGTTGTTTTTTTTTATGAGAACATGGCCTGAAAACAACAGTCTTGGGTTTATTTTTTTGTTTGTATGCTTAGTTGTTTGCTTGCTCACTGTCAACAGAAATTAGCGCATGCCAAAATATTGCGGAAGAGAAAGTGCTTATACTATATAAACAAAAGGCCTGGCTTATGTTTTGTGTTTTAATTAGTTGGTTAGGCACACGTGTTAAGTGAAGGTTGTGAGACTACTGAATTACGTATTAAAAACTGAGTGCTGCTGCTCTTTTGCTCAGCTAGTGTTATTACAGAGATACTTTGAGTTTCTTTTGAATGTTGCCACAAGTCTGTCATTTGATAATTTGTCGATGTTATTTAATAACTTCCTAGAAAATCTGAAATATTCAGTCAGCTACTACTCGGGTACCTGGTTGAGTGTTAAATACTTGCTTATGCTATCATGTTAACTATTATTTAGGATTAAAACAAATTGAGGAGTTGAAAAACGTGTCCTTGGGTTATTTAAATTCCTTCTTACTCTAGCTTGAAAAAAAATTGAAGTTTTTTTAAATATGTAAGAATTACATAGAGAATTCTGAAACAGGAATTATCTGTGCTTTGTTTCTTAAACATGGGAATTTTCCTTTTCATAGTAGTGAGACCTTGAAAATGGATTATGTTTTTATAATTTGGAATTTATCTGCACGTTCTTTTGGTCTCTGAGACACATGTATTGTTCTGCATTGTAGTGTCCAGAAGAGTTGAGACTAAATAGAGTTTTTGCAGGTTTGACATGAATTCACAGAACCAACTTGAGAAAACTTGATCATATCTTCTTTGAGGCTGTGATGCTTTCTTTGTGCAAAGTGAAGATGAAATGAAATCAAGAAGAATATGTGCCTGGTACTAATGTTTAGGAAGTGATTACTCACTATGTGGAGGGGATAAACTGTGAGTGAGGCTTTGATTAAAATTGCTTTCAAGGAGTAGGTACAGGAATTAAATTTTAGATTTGAAACTTGGGAGCCAATACTTGTAAAATTACATTGGCTGGTCGACCACAAATGTAGATTTAAGAAATGTACTTTGCCCTGTATTGCTTAGTGCAGATTTTCAAAGTGGTTTTGGTGGTTGGGGAACTAATTATACCCAGTTTGTCATCGCATTTCTTTTACTTACTGATTATTTTTATATATATATATCTATATTTAGGAGAACACGCTCCTTGCATGGACCATGCCCAGTGACTACATTTGGACCAAAGGCCTGTATGCTGCAGAATCCTAAAACGATTATGTAAGTACTTGTCAAATGAATGGTATTATGCTTATTCTATGTGAAAGAAAAAAGTTTGCTTTTCCACTATTCACCCTCTAATCAGCATTGTTTGCATTTTACCTGATATTTAGAGATTTTCATGTTGCTTGATTGCCAGCTTGGGGTCTGCATTGCCAAAATTGGTTTGCCGTTTTTTATCACACATTGACCATGTAAAAAGTCAGTCTGAGAGGAGAATGAATAGCGCTGCTGAACTGTATTCCCAAGTAAAACCTCGTTAGATGTGCATTAGCTTGATCTGAATGCTGGAAAGTATAATGTGGTTTTGAATGTATCTTTTTTTTTTTTTCTTCTCCCAGGATAGAACGTAATTGGTATTTCCCTGTATGGTTTTATAGTGGTTCTGTCAGTTGGAATACTTTCTGCAGGCTAACAGACTTAAAAGGAAATTAATTTTACTGGTTTTACATTACTAATTCATGTGATGTTCTTAGGCCCACTATCTACTACCTAAACTAATGGGAGCTTTTTCATAGCTCAGAATATCTATTTTGGAAAAAAACCCCAACCATAGCCATTTCACATAAAAATTCATATAACTTTTCCTACGAAGGTATGGTGGAAATCTTGCAGTGTACAATAACTCTTAGCTTCCTCATTCTTTCTGTGTGGTCTAAAGTTGTTGCCTTGGAGTGCTGCAGTTCATCTGAAAACCCAGCTTGCGCTGTACGTTTACCCGCCTGACTCTGAACCATGCTCCTCCCCATGGGCTGGGCCAGCATGTACAATATAATGATAGTGTCAAGATCAGTTGAGTACAGAAGCTGCAGGCAATATTAAACACACACTGCTTGCCAGGGAAAAGACTGCTTATGCAGTGTTCAGAATAGCTGGGGAGGAAAGGGTGCTCTCAGGTCAGTGAAGGAAAGGACTATTTGAAGACTAAATTGTAAATTACTCTTCTTACTATATGTAAGGTTTTTCTTGTGGCTTCTGAAAACAAGCAAAACTTTTTTGTTTGGGTTTTTCTTCTCTACAGTCAGTAATATTGTTCAGCGCTCTTTGCTGGAGGGACTTTTTTTAACAGAAAATTTTAGTTTTTAGGTACAGGCATAAGTTAGTGAAGGTCTTGGTGTCTCTTTAAGTGCTAGTGTTGATGATTGTATTGAAAAACCTACCTTCCGAAGACTGTTATGTAAGCTGACCAGATGAATTGTATGACTATTCAGTGGAAAAAAGAATCAGGTGCATGTGTTGTTGAGGAGAGGGGAGGTCAAATACCTGTTTTTAAACTGTTCCTCGAAATGGGATTTTTCTTATGAAATCTTGCCTCTAAAGATTTCTAGTAAGTGTTTTATACAGGATTTTTCTGTAAAGCCTCACAACTTTTTATTGGAACTGATTGAAGTACTTCACTGGGAAAAAATTTTCAGAGAAAAATGGTTTCTTTTGAGGTAGCAGTTTATTAATAAGTGATAAAAGCCTCAGCTTTATTTTTTAGTAGTTTTTGAGCTGTTGCATTTGCCTCACTTTTGGAAAGAAATATGAAGATCTTAAAGCATGTTATGAATGATCTTTCTTTTAGCAGAACTACGTGGAATTGGTGAGTACAGTTGAAATAGGTAGACTGTCTTTTGTTTGAATGAAGTCTGTATTAGTTCTAGGTTTATTAAGTGAAAAGCAGTGTTCCAGTCTTTAGTTCTTTGCCAGCTTTAGAAGGTAGCCTAATCATCATGAAATGGTTTTGGGGGTGGTTTTGCTACGTGTATTTTTTGCCTTTTAACAGTATTGAGATTTGAGGAATTTAATTTTATGAAGTGCATTTTAGTATAGGAAATGCTTCTTTAATCACAGTTTGTATTGGAAATAGCATATAAAACTCCAGTTTCAGTTGCTTTGCAACTGTTTGGCAGCAGTAAACACATTAATGCAACTCTTCCTTTTCTTATTTTTTAAAATTTTTATTCTATTTTATTTTCAGTTTAGCTATTGGTTGGTTAGTTAAGTCAGGGGAAGCCTTCCAAATTCATAGTAATCTCAGATTCATGGCAATATTTGAGACTGAGTGTGGTATCTTCAAAACACCCTTACACTGAGCCAGGGGATTGGACTAGACTATCTCCAGAGGTGCCTTCCAATCTCCACTATTCTGTGATTCCTTGACTGTAAAATACAATGAATGTTTATGTTATAAAGCATAATGTAATGTTGAAAGCCTGTATGTGATACTGAGTGTAAATGCGTATTTGTGTTCTTTTGTGTTACATAATAATATTTAGAGAGAGAGACAGTACTGTTTGTTAGTAAACATTATTAGTATTAGACTACTTATTTAATCTATAGTTTCTGCTGCTTTTATATGTACAATATAGGCATTCTGGAAAGAAAAATGAACAGGTTATTCCGTCTCCAGCATCATCATCTGTTTTATTTTAACCCTTGAAGTGCTAAATCCAAATCTCTCTGTAAATTTGGCTTGTTCAGCATTTATACTAATCTGCTTTGCTTTATGGATTATATCTGCACTGGATGGAAAAGGACAGGATGCTTGTTGTATGTGAAATACAACTGTAAAATTATGTAGCTTAGAAGTAGATATAAAAGAAGAAGGAAAATACAGCTAGGTGTTCCTAAACCGACTAAATGTTTTATAAAGCATCATGAGGGTTCTGTTACTGAACCCTCTTGAAAGCCACAAAATTATTTGTGTACGTATATTTAGTTCTTGAGGTTCTCAAGTCTTAGAGTGCTGTCCTGACATAGGCAGACAGTAGTTTTAAAATACTTTTCAGAGTTAAATTTTGTGTTTTTTTTAAAAATTTTAAGTAGTAGTTGTGCTACTTTAAGCAGATAAACTTGTTTTGGGATCAACACTAAAAATCAAATTAACATATAGGTTGGAGTTTTAAAGAAGTTTTGCACAAAAGTTACATATGCTTACGTATCTGTAATGTTTGCCTGGAGTAGAAATGTACAGGCACCTGTTCCTGTTTAAGCTCTTTATTTATGAAGCTTTACGATAGGAGGTATAAGAGTTGCAAGTGCAGACTTCCTAGAATAGAGTTTATATACTGCACGTTTTTGATAGTTGCTAAGACTTATCTTGAGGATTTTGTACAGATGACTGTGTGCCCTTCTCTTATGATAGTGTTGTTTAGCATTCGTAGAAAAACTGTAAAATTTGTGTCTGCATCTACAGGCTTCAAACTGTATTGAGAAAACTGTAATTGTATACTGTATCAGTGAAAAAATACTGAAGGAAACATTGCTGAAAAGAAAAAAACCAGTATTTACGTTGGAACTATTGCACTATTTTTCAAATTGACATTGACTTAAGCTGTTTGACTTAGAGTATTGAATGGGGAAAAACTTTTATGCTGTAGCTTTTTCTGATTCTCTAATTGGATGTTTCTCCGTATTTTGAGTCAGCTTAAGAGGAGGGAGTACTAAAACAAGGTAGAAGAAAACATTATAACTGGAAGCACCAGGGAAGATGTCAGTTAGTTCAAAAAGTTGATCTAAGAGCTTTTGTAGTGCTTCTATTAAAGTCCCTATTTGCACATGTTATGATCTTGATAGCAGTTACAAGAATGGACACCTTAATACTGTTAACATCTTAATGTAGTAAAGCATTGATTGGTTTCGTGGGGCAAAAAGCATCATTATAATATGAACTCTTGCATTCTTCTTTCTATTGGTCTAGGACTGTGTGCAATTATGCTTAAGGATATATTCTTAACAGACCAGAACGTTGTCAAAGTAAAATGTAGTAAAGTTGTCTTTTTTCTGTTCTCTAGGCACATTCAGGATCCAGCAAGCCAGCGGTTGACATGGAACAAACCTCCCAAGAGCGTCCTTGTTATTAAAAAGATACGTGATGCCAGTCTGCTGCAGCCTTTTAAAGAGCTTTGTGTGTATCTTACTGAGGTAATGAAATGTAAATTCCATTTTTTACCATAATTACAATTTTTACATCTAAACGGTTTTCAGTTACTGATTCTGTTGAATGTGGAATGTGCAGAATAACATAGTGCAAAGAAATCGTGTTATCCATTGCCACTGGAAACAGTAAAACTTGTTTCAGAACTTAAGATCATTACTGAAGTACTCTAAGTACAGAGCTTAAAAGAGAAAGTAAAGTAGAAACTTTCCTTTGTTCTGTTTGCAGTTCTAAATTACAGGGAATGGGATGTAAAAAGCTTTAGTCCTTTAAGCCTCCAAGAAACAGCAATGTTACTGTATTGTGTAATCTGTGTTCCAGAGTTTAGTTTATTTTATTAGATGGTCTGTGCATGCTGCAAAATTCTCATTAGAATTAGACCACACTTTAAAAATAAACCCCGCAACCAGCATATGCAGACTACTTCTGTAAAATATTATTTATATGTTTTAAACTAATGCAAAATATGGTGAAGAGTAAAATATTTTGTCTTTTTAAGATGTTATTAACAAGCTTATCTTACCTCTCTTAAGGAGAACAATATGATAGTGTATGTAGAAAAAAAAGTATTGGAAGACCCCGCTATAGCTAATGATGATAATTTTGGACCAGTGAAGAAGAAATTTTGTACCTTCAGAGAAGGTATGGTAATGATTTCTTGAAAGTAAAGTTGAATTATATTGCTTATTTGTCTTTGTATTTCCTTAGTCGTTGAGTCAAGTTTGTTAAACTAATGTGTCTTTTGCAAACAGCTGTTGTTATATCTTAGTTGTGGGTTTTTTTATATTTGTGAGTGAATGTTGGCATGCTGCACTTGATTTCTGTTAGTTTTATCAACAGTCTTAATTTCCTGAATTCAAAACTTGTATTTCAATGTTGCTTCTAGATTATGATGATATCTCCAATCAGATAGACTTTATCATATGCCTGGGAGGAGATGGGACCTTGCTTTACGCTTCTTCGCTTTTCCAGGTTGGTCTTTATGGGAAATAGACTTAAACATCTCTTTTCGTTTTGAAATATTTGAAGGATAGTTTTTGTTTTTGTTTTTGTTTTTTTTCCTTTGTAATTGAGTTCGGCATTTGTCCTTTACTGTTCGTGCCTTTTTTCCATCAAGCCTGTTTTACCCTATACCTTCTGAAAATAATGTGTATAATGTGTTGTTTTTATTATGCACAGTTGAAGTTACATCAGTAGTCAAAATATTTACAGGCAATTAGTTGAAGTATGAAATGCTTTTATTCAGTAGCTTTTAAATTCTTTTCTTTATTGATAGGGTAGTGTACCTCCAGTTATGGCTTTTCATCTGGGATCCCTTGGATTTCTTACTCCATTTAATTTTGAGAATTTTCAGTCCCAAGTCACTCAGGTTATAGAAGGTAAATTTAAGGGGACAAGGTGTGGTGTTTCTGTTTGTTACGTTTTCTGTAGCTTCTTCCAAGACTAGTAAATTTTCTTAACCAACTTATTTAGGTTGTCCTGTAAGATTAAGTCTCAAGAGATGTATACTAAACTAACAAAAGTATTGCATTGCATTGACCTATTCACTGCTGCTTTCTTGTACTGTTGTGTAGTGGAAAATGGCCAAGAAATAACGTCCTGTGTGGCGTAAAAAAGTATAAGATGATGCAGAACTTACATTAAACGACAGCTAAGCATACAAATAGAGTGTAGTTCTGAAGTCTGTGCTAGTCTGTTTCTCTAAGCAGTGCAGTGCTTAAATACTGAGAAGTCAGGCAAACAAAATATTTGAGGAAAGAAATACTTTATTTGTTCAATACGAGGTTATTTGGCTTGCATCCAAAGTGGATTCCTGAAAAGATGTTTAAAATTCTCGCATTGCTAGAATGTTCTAGAATGTTCTCTTTTAATAGGTGTTTCTGATGCACTAATTTTATTTAAGCTTAGCTTTTGTCTTAGGTGAAGATCACATGAGCCTAACAGTGGTTTCCAATCTTGATCGTGTCCATCCATATAAAACTTAAATTTTCTTTTTACATGATGAGGAAGGGGAGGAAGGACTGGGTTCAAATTTGATTTCAGTTTTGCTCATTACTACTAAAAATCAGTTTTGAGCTTTAACCAAGTGTAGACAATTATCTTGTGAATGAAATTGGGAATGTTGAAAGCACGGGCGATAGGCGGATGGCATTTCATACAGTTTGCTAGTCATTACAAGGTTTTATTTGCTTTACTAACATACCATTTTTGTGTGCTTTCTCCTATATTTCACTTCTAGGCAATGCAGCACTTGTTCTACGAAGCAGGCTGAAAGTGAAAGTAGTAAAGGAGCACAGAGAGAAAATGACAGTACAAAATGGTATAGAAGAAAATGGAGTAGTGTCTACAAATATAGAGAAAGAAGTGGGCAAGCAAATTATGCAATATCAGGTCAGAGGGCAAAATAAGCAAAAGAACTAAGATGCTGTTTGTAAATTGCTTTGTACTTGTTTTATTATAACTTTCCCCTTTTCATTAGTTTACTTACATTAGCCCAGTAGTGTGGGACTGATCCATATTGCTCTAATTCACAATATGTGCATTAAATAATGAGGAAATGGTATACATCATTACTTTCTGCAGTCCTAAGTGTTAATATTGTACTTCCCGGTAGTAATATTTTCCTTCCATTTTGAAAACAAAAATAGAATATCCCAAAGATTTTTATAAGTGAAAAGAAAAACCCTGCACATTATTAGTAACCAGCTTCTGGGAATAATTCTTAACAGCTAAAAACTTCAGCTGGCACTTGGTAAGACAGAAGTGTAAAGAGAGTCTAATTTGGCAGGTATGAAGTCCGCATGAATGTTTCAAAGATCTGGAAAGCATGTTTCGGCTTGTCATTTGTTACATTGCCAAGTCAGCAATAGCTAACTGGTGTAACATTTGATGTCATGGCAGGTCCTGAATGAAGTTGTAGTAGATCGTGGTCCTTCTTCTTACCTTTCCAATGTAGATGTCTTTCTAGATGGACACCTGATAACAACAGTGCAAGGAGATGGTGAGCCTGCTTCTTAAGTTAAATTGCTTATTGTTTGTGTGTAGACTGCTGCTATTTTACTGGAGGATTTTCTCACATGGAAACAAAATCTCAAGGTTCAGTTTGATGGTGACAGAAAACGTTAGTGTGCAAAGAGTGGTATGTTTATTCATTGGTAACTAAAGTGTTCCACAACAAAGCATCAAAGTGTTGTAAGCTTTGTTTATGGACTTGTGAAGGCAAGTGGCAGTTTCTTTGGGTATGATACGTTAGGGCTAAGGGCAAGAAATAGCTCAGAAAAGATTTGCCTTGGATATCTGGAATTTGCTGAAGGCAACTCATGAAATACAGAAGTTCATCTTTAAAGTTCTTACCCTTAAAACAATGAATGTCACTGTTACCGATTTGTGTAACCTGAGATTTAGAAGTTTATGCAACTTACATGAAGCTTTAGGATGAATATGCTGTGCCAGGATTAGAAGAGAGTTTCTGACTTTTTGTGTATTGGACTGCAATTCTCCTGTGAAATGCAAGTTGAGACATTCTCTGCTTCATTTTCATAACAGTGCTATTTCTTAGCTGTCTTCCAAAATAACACATTGATTGTAATGAAAGTGAAATTTTTGCTCCCTTCACAGGAGTCATTGTCTCCACGCCGACTGGTAGCACTGCATATGCAGCTGCAGCAGGAGCTTCTATGATTCATCCAAATGTTCCTGCAATAATGATCACCCCAATCTGCCCTCACTCGTTGTCTTTCAGACCTATTGTTGTTCCTGCTGGAGTGGAACTCAAGGTGAGCTTCTGTTATGTTATTTCTCTTTCGAAGTTAAAAACTTTTGTAATAACCATGTGAATCTGACCAAAGCAGAAGAGGTTAGGAATGCTGTGTATCTCCTGCATTCTTTTATTTGTAGGAGGACCAGATCAAGTCTGGTTGAAGAATGCATCTTTGTTCAAAATAATATACCTACTAGCAGAACATTTTACACTACTTCCTACTGGATTGTAGTTGTGTAACGTTCTGCAAAATAGGAAAACATGCATTTGCATTCTGACTAATAAGGTTTTACATAACTTTGGCTAAAGTGCATGTAAATCAGTGGTGTTTAAGGGGATGAAAAAGTCTGGTTTCATGGCTAAAACAACAAATATTGCAGATTTTGAGTATATTGGTAGTTATCTGCAATTCACTAATTATTTTTTGTTAATATTGTCTTGCAGAAAGAGAGGCATGTAGTAGCTGAATATAAAATGGATTTAGTTAATGTATATTTTTAACAAATACCCATGTGTAATGAAGAATCCGTTTCTGCTTCTAGTATCTGTTACAAGCCTCCAGTCTACTTAAAGTAGACGAGAGCTAGTATGTTTAGAAGGGCTTTCCTAGGCGTGTTAGAAGATTAGCATTAAGTGTATACCAGGGTTTTTTGTTCCTGTTTTACAACATAAATCAAATATTTATTCATAGCACTGCTCTCAATCCACAATTACTTTCATGTCAGTGAGTGTTATTGCCCAATGGTAGTCAATTCTTTTCTCTTAATAGGAATGTAAGTTAAATATGAGCAAACTTGCTAAACTTGACAGCTTTAGATTCATTATATATTAAAATCTATTTTTCTGGATTAACTTTATTTTTATTGAAAGAGATGCTAAGTCAACTCATGTAACTGACTTAAAGCATGCACTGACCATAACTGGAAGGTCTTTCTGGTTTATGAGCTTGTACTTATGAAGAGGGGGTTCACTGCATGTAGAAAGATATATGTATGTATACCAAACATGAAATGAAGTTTTGGAACCTGTGTGTATGTTACTGCACTGTTGTTATGGACAGATTACGAATTTCAGTGCAACTGTAAAGTTGCAAAGAGTCAATTCTGAACTTAGAGGGAGGGTGGAGGAGGTGTTTGTTCCTTGCTCTTGAAAAATAGGTTTTGGACCTGAGGTTTAGTTCTTTGCTCTTTTTCAGATTATGCTCTCCCCGGATGCCAGGAATACAGCATGGGTTTCATTTGATGGAAGGAAGAGGCAGGAAATATGCCATGGAGACAGGTCAAGCCTTTTTCTGATTGTAGCATCTCTATAAGTATAGAAAATACTGATTCATGCACTTCTCTCATTCTCTAACATCTGTCAAAAGGGTTGCTAGCAGTGAAGAAACAAGCTTTTATAAACCCTAACACCTCTTACAGCACAAACTGTGCTAAAAATATTTAGTTTCTAACTTGGGTTTTTTAGATCTTCCTATGAAAGCAAGTGAAATGTTAAGGCAAAAGCATGTAAACATTGCATGCTTGGCAAGGAAGATGGACATGTCTTGAGAAAATTCTGTAAATTTAACTTAAAGATAAATCTTAGAAGTTTGAAAAGATGTAAACCAGCAGGAGTTGCATGTAAGCAGTGGCTCTGAGTAATGCCGTATGGTTTAAACTGTGTTAACTTAGTGAATGGTTGTGATCACTTGCGATGCTATTGCCTTGAGTGAGCAGAATGCAGTGTGTGAAGTTTCCTCAGTTTTTATGTGCGAAAGGTGGTGGCTTATCCTAATGGGAGGTGATTTAAGGCAACTGTGTGATATGTGACTAGTAGTCTTTGCTATTCAGGATGACCTCTTTTTTTTTTGTCTTGGTCCATACAAGTTGCCAGGAAGGAAAATGTATAGCTGGCATGACACTCCATCTTGAACTGTTTGTATTTCCTCTGAGGTTGAAAGATCTGTAGAATGGTTTTGGAGACTAGTAAGGATTCAAACATGAGATTTGGCCCTTTGTTAGGTGCTACACTTCTTAGTGCTGTTGCTTATACTTAAAACTTGAAACTTAAAGGCCAAGGTGGTGACTTACATTTTCCTTTGTCCCTGTGTTGTTGCTGTGGAGACCAGTAAAAGACTGCAGGACATCATGGAGTAGGTTCAGTATTCTTACTGTGTCAAAGAATGCTGTCCACAGTGAATCTGTTCACAGTTTTAAGCCATGTGTTTGCTCTGCTTAGATGAGCCTACAGACTTGGTTATTGCTTGATTATGGAAACTCGCTGTTTTACCAAATTGGCTGAACATAGCACTATGGTAGCTAGTGAATAGAAGATTTTGTTGTTTAAAAATTGCTATTCACTATCCTTGACTGACTGGGGTATTCCTGTGTTGTTGCAGTATTAGCATCACTACCTCTTGCTATCCCCTTCCTTCGATCTGTTTCCGAGATCCTGTGAGCGACTGGTTTGAAAGCTTGGCTGAGTGTTTACACTGGAATGTTCGGAAGAAGCAAAATAACTTTGCTGTTGAAGAAGAAGAATTTTGAGTGTCTACATCTAACAAGACTCATGGGAATGGAAAGTGGCAGTATCCCTTCTATATGCTTGGATTTTTAAGTTTTTGGCTAACAAGTGTGGTCACCATCTCAGACATATATAGTGATTATAGTTATATCTGTCTGACCTGCTGATGGCTGGAAATTATTGTGCTACTTCCTGTCCACCAAGAGTGGGAATGGAAGAAATTAGGCTCTGATTGTTGTAATCCAGTGTGAATTTCCCTCAGATGAGCAATCTGAAAATTGATTATTTCTCATTGGTATTGACAACTGCATCTGTAGATTTGATTGTAACCTATAACTTACCAATAACATGGTAGGCTGAATGTAGATATGCAATAGAAAAGTGGCAGTAGGAAAATGGCATTAAAATATTGTGTTTAATTTGATCTATTTGTAATTCCATTTAAGACTGCTATGCATATAAAGGAACTAAGAAATTTTCTTTAAAAAAAAAAAGAACCAGCCTTCTCTTTGTCAGCTTAAATACGTCTTGCCTAGAATAGCTCCCCATCAAGACAAGCGCTTAAAGTATTTTCTCCTTACTTGCAAATGTGACACACTGAAGAAACACCCATGAAGAATGTTTTTTATTACTAAATGGAACTAGTAAAATAAGTATATATATTTTTAATATATACACATATATCTCTCATGCCCATTTGAACAGTGTTTGACCCTTGGCTGTCATCACTGTTTAATATCCACAAATAGCATGGACGAGTATTAGCGTGGACTTAGTTGGTTATTAGAGTGATCTCCATTTTTGTAGCTGAGCTAGTTTGTAGCTCTGCAGTTCCTGTTGGTGGGAATCATCAATGTGTTGTTTTTTCTTACTATTTTTGTTTGATTCTCTGGAATAAATGGTAGTGTTGGACACTATAAAGTAAAAAAAAAAATTAATAATCTCTAAGTGTTCAAGAAGAATCTGGACTTCAATTACTACTATATTGTCTAGTTCCATTATTGTCTTGAAGAAAAGAATATCCTATACTAGGCCCTAAATGCCCTCAACTTCCATAGATACCTTCCGACTCTTGGTGCTGAGTAATACAGAAAGGGATACTGCATTGGTAGGCTGATAAATGAGAGGACGCATTCCCAGTAGAGTAGCAATGGTGCCTTCAGCACACTCAAGATATTCTAAGTCTCATATTTACTTTTTTAAGATGCTTTCAAATGTTTCTAACTTCTCTATGTACATATTTTATTGTATGTGCTTTTATGAAAGAAAAAAAAAACAACAGCAAAAACTAGTTGGGAAAAAAGGGTTTGTACTGTACTTTAACTGAAAAATATCAAACCCAAGTATAATGTTTACATTTATGTTCTCTGTGGTGCGGTCTCATGATCATACTATCCAAACTTCAGCATTTTCAAAGTCTTGCTGCATTGATCATTAAAGGAATGGACATTATCTGTTAAATTTTAAGCCTATGACATAATATTGTGGAGGAATTAATTTACTGATTAAGGTGGGATTTCCTTGAAAGTGGAGTGAGAAGCTCTGTTGAACTTTTTGTGACTGTCTTATGTTGTTAATGTGGTCCAAAGTGGTAATGGGAAATGTATTAATTTCCAAACTCTGCCTGACCTGCTGTCCTCTGATGGTTTAAATAATGTCTCTTCCATTTTGGATGCTGCCCTAGTCTGTCTAATTTTATTAAATCCAGGTGAGAGCACTTTTCCATAAAAGAGAACCAACTCTTGGTTAATGATACAAATCACAATGAAAATGTGTTAATATAAATTAATAATCAAATTGTAAATTTTGTAAAATAGAATTTTGATTTGAGTTGATCTAAATAGACTAATTTTGTGATATCTTGGAGAATATCCAGATAGCTTTTGGGATTTATCTTTCACTTGAATCTGCAGTAATTCTTTTATCACTGTTTTGAAGCTGCTTATGGGTGTCCTAGGTGGAGTATTCAGTTATTTAATAACTGTTTACTTTTTGAAATATAGAAGTGTCAGACTTTTTGTTTTGAAACTGTTTTATTTAAACATGCAATAATTGAGAAAAGAACAGGGTATAGTGGCTATATAAATGTATTGTTAAGTGAAAAACAAGCAGAATGCTAGGCACGCTAGGAAGAGGAAATCATTTTGCGGAGGTGAGGCGAAATGATTAATGAGCCTTATCTAGTATTTTTTTAAAGATAAAAGTATATTCAGCACTTTTTATTTATGCTTTTTATAATAGTAAAGCTATTGTTGACTAAATTGTCGAACTTTTAATTTTCAAAGTGTGTAGTTCATGAAATGTGTAATCCGCCTTTGCCCAACTACTTTCTCTAGATTAGATCTAGATGAGGAGTTGTCTTTAGATTTATCATATACTGCAGTTGCCTTAGTGGCTTTGAGGCTTCTGCAATTTTGCTTGTACAAGTATTCTGGCTTGATATCAATCTTATTTGGATCACTGATCAGCCAAGTAGAGAGCTACAATCAGTGACTAAAGGAAAGAAAGTCACATGATGACTTTAGTCTTTGCCTTTTCTTCAAAAAGCTGTGTTGATTATAATTGTACTAGCTGCTTTATATCAAACGCAACCCCAATTGTGTTAGTACATTACAAATTTATCTGACTGTACAAAGTCCCTTTTCAAAGCCTTTAATCTGCAAACCAGTAATTCACAAGCAGGCTAGTGAGGTTTAAAGAGCACTCAAGTTTTGCATATTTAACTGCTTGAAGTGTGGGTGACTTCAGTTCAAACCACAGCTGAACCAGAAAAAAAAGCTGTAATGCAGACTTGGTTATATTGGCAATAAAGGCTCACTTTGTTGATGTAGCTTACTCAAAGTAACTTGTTTAATCTTACTAGTAAAATAGGGCTTTGCTGATTAAGAGCAGTGTTTCTAATATAAGGGTTTGTAAATGTCACTGTACCTACAAATCCTTTCCAGTCTACAAAGGGCCAAAATGGAAGCTTGGAAATTAATTTGTTTTTTTTAAAAAAGTTACTCTCTACTAGAGAGTTTAAGAAGTTATTATCAACTGATACGGTATGGAATAAAGCAGTGTACTGAATTTTTAGATGAGGAGAAATCCTGTTACATACTGTTAATGCTTTGAAAACTTGTTTTAAATATTGTTGAGAACAAATATTTTTCAATCCTTTCAATAAAATCTTTTTGTAAAGTTGGATTTGTAAAGCAGCAATTTGACTGTTTAGAATATAAAATTAGGTATACACAATTAGTTGCTTGGCAGGCAAATGTCCAGTGTGGGTTTTTGATATGTTGTCTCATATAGCATCTGTTTTCTAGAAATATACCTAAGGCTTTTTTGAATGTATATGTCTGATACCAGTCTCTTCTCAAAAGTTTCAAAATAAACCCTGGATTTGCTGTACAAGTTGAAACAAATCTTCTGTACAACTAGTTGGGCTATGTTAACTACTTTTTTTGAAGGCCCATGAGTAGAAAAATGAGGGAAGAAATAGATAAGGGCAATAATCTGAGATAATCTCAGATAATTGGGATACCTAGTAAGTTTAAGATTGAAAATGTAGTTTAAATGCCCATTCTATTCTTGCCTTTGTACGTTCTGACCAAGTTCTAGACGCTTCTTCCATGAAACTTGTGGCTAATGATTATGATTTATGATTTTGTAATTAATCTGTAACCTATTCCAACAGTTCGTGCAGGTCAAATGATTGATAAATGTGAGGAAATATCTTATGCAGGTAATACAGCTGCTTTTAAATGGAGTTCATTTGCTTCACAAGAGTCAAGTGCCTTAGAAAGAGTTTTCCATCTTCTCATGCCTGGCTAGTGACAAACTCTTGCTGTCCATGGCTGAAACAATAACCCACCACTTCTGTGACAGTGGCACTCTGTTGCCTATGCATAAAGCAGGGAAATAGCACTGCCAAAGACTGGACCCTCATTTTACAGATGATTCTTTTGAAATAGTTTATATGCAATTTGCTAGTCCTGTCTTGCCAGAATGAAGGCTTCTTACAGTTTTCTGTTTAAATGGCCTAGTTCTAGCATTGAGAGCTGTAATCACCATAGTTCCTTGAACCAGCAACAAGTACTCTCCACCCCCATGCAGTCTTTCTAAGCTAAGGTATCAAAAATTTTGGCACAAAATAAATTTAGCTGAGCTGATTAAAAAAACTGGCTGTATCAATTTACACTGGGTTTTTAAGAATTAGGAGAACTTAAAGTCACCCAAAATAGGAAGATTTGGCCATAAACCTGTATGGAAAGAAAAGCCTGAGCCCATCTTTTTCTAGTTTTACCCTGCTCTGCAGTGTGTCTACATGATAAGCTGAAATGGATGTTGGTACCAACATGTGGTTTAATCTAGATTGTTCACATAGGCATTGGGTGGCAGTGTGGATTACAGCCACCTTGGGAAGTAAAAAAAAAAATAATAAAAAATCTCACACTGGGTATGAAGGTCAGCACAGCTTGTACTTGTTGCTGCTTTTCCATGAAATACTAAATTTCATTTAAACTGGGTCTCCCTTTTTGTGCAGCAGTCTTACATCTTGATGACAGTGTCATGCTCCTTCCGCAACTGGAGATGATTTACTGCATTGCTAATGAAAGGGGTGGTAGAGAAGCATACAGCATTCACAGTGGTATTAGGATTCATTTTGTAAAAACATGATTATGTTCTAAAGATAATTTGAACTAGCCATACCAATTAATGACTTGTTACTGTGGGGTACAGGATTGCAAGGCCTAAATGCTCTTCCTAACTTTGTCAAATTGTCTTTGTCTTTCTGTCCTGTGTTCTTTTAACTTTTCTGGAATCCAAATCAGTATCAGCTGTTGCACATGTGAACAGCAGCTTGAAGCCCTTTTTAAAGGGAGTCATGAGCACAAAGGGGAAAAAAAGAGTTTGGTCTCATGTGTTGTCCTCCAACAGAAAAGCAGGAAGCTATACCCAGAGAAATGCAATTAAAGCTGCCAATACTTTGCAGTGATGGGACAATAGCAAGTTGATTCATTTTTTCAATAATGCACGATGAAAAATTGAACTCAAAGGCTTGAACAAAGAACAGGTAGAAGATAATAATGCAAAAATGAAGTGTGAGTGGTTTGGACTTTTTCTTCCTGTTGGGTGCACTTATTTTACTGCATTTGAAAAAGTAGCCTCTCTACGTGCTGTTTTTGAGAGATTTCTCATATAGCATGGAAAAGAAGGTTGATCAAAGAAGGGGAAATGTTTGTTTGTTTATTTGTCAAATGTTATGTAAAGAATTTGTGCAAATTACCTAAAACTGAAGTCTCCTTTTATATATCATTCTGGGTAAAACTTGCTAAATGCTTTTGACGGGGGAAGTTCTTGATGACCTGTAGAGCGGTAGCTTCCATTTGTTTGGTATTGTGTGATTTGTTCCCATTTTTCCTCTTCTATTGGTGAATACCAATAAAAAAATGTGATGAGTAAACTTTGGATAAATCCAAAGTTAACTTTGGATTTGGCTGGATTAATCTCCTGCTTTAATAATAGAAAATGTGAAGTTGGTTGTCTGAACCAGTTGGTTTAATGATTGTCTACATCCAGGATTAGAGCAGCTGGGCAAAAAATAAAGTGCTTCAGTTTAGAGTAGGCCACAGATATTGTCTGCAGATCGTGACAGAATTGTGGATTGGGAACCTTTCCTAGATTCAGCCTAGTAGCTCTTATCTACACAAGTATTAACTTCAAGACCTTGTGAAAAAGAACGGGCAGATTTCCACAGGAACTTAACAAGACCTTAGTCGGGAATAAGAACATTTTTCTGTAAAAGTATGAAGGTTAATTCTCCAAGGCCTAACATTTTTTTTGAGATAAATGTTTGAATGTAATCACGACTTTTTTTTCCTTCCAACGATACAATTGTTTCTGCCATCTCCTTGCTATGAAGATAAAAGGCGCATAGTACAAGCTTACTTTCTTCAGCTAATTTGGACCAAGTACAGGCCTACTGCAAGATTAAAGTCTTCCCTTACTGGTCCTGCTCTAGGCAAGACCTGCTGCATGTTTGCTTGTTTTAGAAAAGGATTGAATATGCCTAATTGTATTCCTCCATTTCAGCAACAATTCATAGTCACATTTTGACTTGTGGAATGAACTCACAGTCATCAGCTGGTACTCTCGTGCTTTCTCTTGATATTGTCAGCTGTATGCAGTCTGACCATAGACATTTAACCTCTTCATGCCTCCATTGGGCTATCTATAAAGCAGATTTGTTTCAGGTTTAGAAGACTAGGATGAGAAAAATAATTTCCCTAATAAGCTGCAACAAACTATTTTAACTACTCTTGGGAGTGTACAGGTACCTGCAAGTTAAGGAGGTATCTGAAGAGGAATGTGATGGCAATGTTCACAGCACACGTGAACTGCAGTTCCAGCCTCTTCTTCCATACTCAGTTTGTAAACAGGCTTCCCGTTGAACTCGTGCTGTTGATATGAGAAATAATTATCCATGCGCAAACTGTGTTTATACTTTATTAAAAAAAAAAGACAGCCAGTAGCTAAAGATTCCAATCAATAAAATGCCGAACTTGTAAATTACAATATTAAAGGCTTATTTTAACAGTCACCCTGGTGTATGAAATGGCACATCAATTAGATACACTGTAGGAAAGCATGAGGTTACATTGCGTAGTTTTCCTGTGTAGCTGTGATTTAAAAAAAAATTTAAAAATTGAAATATCCTGAAGTCAGAGGAGGAACAAGAGCCCTAGCCATTCTGTTGGGGTTAAGCCATCACACAGCCATAGCGGAGATCAGGGAATCCAGCTGTCTTCAAAACAGCTTTGGGGCCTGACCTCTGTTCAGCAACAGATCTGAGTTGAGAAGTGATGGTAGGGCAATCCGCTTCTAGACTCAGGTATATGAGATGGGTGTGCAAATTATTATGTTTGTGTATATCCAGAAAAACAGCATTTATGTTAACAGCATTCTCTACTCGCATGCATGTTGTGAACCTCCTGTGGTTACAAAGCAACATCAGGAAAACAAGGAGTGAAAGATGCGTTGTCCTGTCAGTAAAACTCACTGAATTGAGAGGATTACTGTTAATTTCCCCGAGCACACTTTGCTTTTTAAATTAAGTTACCAGCTGCACTGCTGGAGTTCCCTAGCACAATACGAACCAAGAAATGTATTGGCATTTTTCTGAGCAACTTCCTCTACCTCTGTCAAACTGACCCAGTATCTTACATCCTGAATGCAAGTACTCGATCGGAACTTCCCCAGCTATGATTCCACTCTGTAAGAGCTGCAGATAGAACACAAGGGGGGATGCTCAGGAGTCGATCCTTCCATAGGAAGAAAACACTGTGGGAAGAAAGGAAGATCAGTCAACACCAATGCCTGGCAGCATTTATATCCTTCATGTAAAAGGAGGTTTGGGGAGTTTAAGATTAGTGGCTCTCTAGGTCCCTTTATTCTGTTTCTCTTAGTTATGGTAAGGCAGTTACACAGCATGATAAAGAAGAAAAATTACATGTATCTTTTACAGAGGAGACTTTTCCACACAGGTCTGTTTTTCTGGATAGCAGCAAATATTGCATCGGTTTGAAGCAACTTTGCCTAATGTCAGTGTTCTTCAGGGAGAAATCACATGTGTTCCATCCAAGCTTCTGAACTTTCTCAGGCCAGTAGATTCTGAGGCTGCAGCAGTGCTTGACGTCATTAGGGATCTGCCTGTTATTGTGAGTATCCCTAACTATTTTCCTGACTCGACAGGCTCTCTACTTAATTGTGACTGTGATACAATAGGCTACAACCTTCATAGTTAAGTTAACCTTTTTAAGTACTTACTTCTTTCTCTCAGCCCCTGCCCAAAGCTGCGGTAGACATGAATCAGTGCCCAAAACAAAACAGATTTTATTGCAACAGAAATGCAAGAGCAGGTAATGAAAGCAGCTTCCAGAGTGTAAGAATTCCCTTTGCCCCACTCCCTTATCACCTGCAGGAAAATGGAGACATACAACAATCAACACCTAGTGCCACAAAACCCCAAAGCGATAAAATGCAATCAATGACTAAGTTTCTGAAAGAAGTCACTAGATAGTAATTGGGGGGGGAAAAGCCCTTGTCACTTTTAAACTGTCTTACTTTTCTGATCACATGATTCCCTGGCTGCACACTGATTCTAAATGCATTATACCTTCTGATCTCTGTATCACTGAAGTCATATGAAAACATACTGTGCCCAGGTTGAAAAACAATTATGCTGGAGATAATAAAACCAGACTTCACCTTACATCTCAGTTTCTTTCCACTGTAAAATATAGAATGAAGTTATGTCCCCTGGCTGTCGTACTGTACTGTCTCGGGGCCGGCTTCATGATCGCATTTTCATTCATGGCTAGCGTGATTACTGTGGTTGTGACATTAGTAATTGCCTACTTTTTTGACGGGTCTGACACAGAGCAAATGGCAAGTTTTAATTAAAAGCAACAATATTTATATCTTGCAGCTATCTACCGCATTGAAGAAGGATCACTGCTCCCGTGAACAAAGTATGATCAGGCTTGTTAATACTAAGATCAGAGACCTCTGCAAAAATCCAGTACTGAAGGAAAGACACTAACATCTTGCTGTATTCTTTTCCCCATTCTTGCAGGTTTGAATCACTGCCCCAGCAGGCCTAGTGATTATCAGGATGAGATTTAAAAAAGCACAGTTCTGACTACTTTGATTTGTTATCAAACCCAATGGTGTCTATCCCAAATCAAGGCAGGTTATGGATGTCCTGGCCAATTTCAATGAAGTCAGTTTGTCTTACTAAGTTCTGTTAGTTTTCCTGTTTAGACTGCAGAGGATTGTTAAGCAGCTGCTATATAGAGTCAGTCGAGCAGCTTTTTCAGAGCTGAAGTAATGAATGGTAAGTGCAGTTTACTTTCCCTTTTTTTTTTTTTTTTTTTTGCCTTTCAGGTAGTTAGATAAAGGATGCTAAAAAGAATTGGTTTGGTGAAGTGACTATATTACAGATCTCTCTAGCACAGAGGAGTACTGCATTGCATGGCCGTGCCCTCGTTCGCTGGTCACTCTTGTATGTTTATTGTTTCCATGCAAAAATGGAAGGAGACCTAGCTATTTTCAAGTTGTTTTGTTACTCTTATGTCAGAAGCTGCCACCTGTACTTTTCTTCCTAACTGCAATACAGGTAAAGTACAGCCAGCAAAGACTGTGTGGTCCTCCTGTGCTTTGCCAGATCAAACAGGCCTGTGAATAATTGGAAGAGCCTGATTTGACCACATACTTTAATACATTGAACCCCAAGGACTTGGATGACTGCAGCCACTGGACTTTTATCAGTATCTGGAGACTATTTATCTGAAGTATGAGAAACACTGGCTGCTATCAGCATTTGAGCCTTTCCCATGATGAACAACCTGCTTTGCCCTTGCCCTTCTTCTTCCTTACCTCCTTTCACATGTGTTGTGGGAGGTGCTGGGGTGCGTCAGTGATAAGTGCATTATCACTATAGTGCCAAAAAAAAATGCCTAACACTGGGGTTTGTTGGGCTTACACTGTGTCTTGTTTTGGCTGCATCAGGATCGACAGCTGGGGGTGCTGCCTAAGAAATTCTTTAGAATATAACGACTTGCGGCCCTGCAGATGGTCAAATGCTCTGGCACCACTTGAGACTTCTTGTGAAGGAGGGGAGGCATTTTTGAAGAGCTGTGTATCTTGTATTGGAAGATTTTGTAGCATCTTTCCCCAATCATTCTGGACACTTTGCCAGTTGGAGAGAATTCCAGAGCCTCTCCCTCTAACTAATCAGTTCAAGAGCGATTTGTCATGGTTCCTGTCTTGAAAAGTTGATGCTGAAGAGGTAGGGCGTGCCTGCTGCTCCCATTGATTCTAACAGGAGCTGCAATGAAGGGGCATGCTGAGGAGTGAGACACCATGTTTTGGGCCTAAGGATCCAGTAATGAAGAGGAGGCCTCCAGCCTTGCTCCCCATTATTGAGCAAGTAAGTTTGATGAATTACCGTGTAAAGCAGGTAGATGAGATAAACTACTTCGGGTACATTCTGACTCAGAAAAATCCACACTAGAGGTTTCAGTTCTTTTAAAATCTGTAAAATAAAATGAGATATATACAGCTTTATAATTTGTTGCTATATACTCTATAAAGGCTATATATGTTTGATTTTTCAGTAGCATTTCAAGTGGTCTAGCCGAGTTCTCAGTTTTAACTTTGCTCTCCACTTGGCTTCTCTATCTATGTGGTTTTTAGGAGGAAATACGGTCTCTGTTTTCCACTGAGCTGGGCCAGGAGCGATGTTGGTGAAATCAGAACTGGTTGTTCTGTGGGCACATCCTGACAGCTGTGTGTGATTTGAGCCATCTCGGCATT